AGGACTATGCCAAGGATACATGCTCTCGTGGCAGTACCTTACGTAAGAACAGAGTTACAACTCAGGTTCGCCTGGTGCATGATGGGACTGACTCGCGAAGAATATGACTCAGAAGAAAGGAAGAGATCAAAAGAGGAAAAGGTTTTCCTTATGACGAACCTGAGGGATCTGATAGTCCAGGAGGGAGCAGCAGTAGCGTGTGCGAAGCGGAGAGACGCTCTCTGTTTCATTCGATTCCTGATAGAGCAGATTTCAGTACCTGCATTAAACACTTGTATTAAAATGTTGAGGGAAGGCGATGAGCGAACGAAAGCCTTATTCTTGCTAGCACTGCTGGATATGCAGCAAAGTAAACCGATGAGGGTGAACATGAAAGAACCTGAGGAGTTGGAACCCATGAAAAAGATAGACGAAATCAGGAGATTCTCAAGAAGAAATTGTATGGCTACGTATCCGGGATCATAGGGATCGCGTACAATCCTTTCCTGAGTGAAGACATACGCAATTGCTTCTTCGATTATGAGCAGGCGGTGTTGCTAAGATTCTGGACGTCCAGAATTGTAACGATTAAGAGCGTTAACAATCCACAGGCCGAATTGGGACTGGTTTTGGAAGAAGAGGTGACTGCACCTTCAGTACCAAAATCCGACAAAAGAGTGGAGTTTGGGTTGGGATTCTCAGATGAATATTACTGAGAACGAGCTTGATGACAGTGTGGGAATTGATGAGGCCATCATGGTGTCCTAGTCCCAACGCTGACTCAATATTACGGGCGACACATGACGTACAGAGGGAACTGAATGCAGACTGTAACCTGCGTGACCTCAACATCATATATAATGTGATGATAACAGCCTCTAAGAGCAACGGAGAAGATAAAGTGGAGTTGCCTGGCTGGGGACCAGAAGACTGGGTCAAACCTGGTAGCTGTCTGGCGGAAGTCTGTGGACTGGAGGGTCACGTTTGTGGAGGTTTGGACTGTGTGAAGACCCTGGAGAAACAACACAAGCAATTGACGGTATTGTTTGGAAATGTAGTGATGAAATCTAGAACAGAAATGGAATTGATAGCAGATTGCCATGGAGGAACCGATGTGAATCTAGTGACTGCACTAGGATTCTACAGCATGTTTGGTTCTTTAGAGTCACTATTGAATCTGGAACAGAAACGTGAGGTGGTCACAGCCATCAGTGTAGAAGTATTCCCAGGAGTTCTGCAGACTGAACAGAAATACATAGGGAAATGGAGGGAAGCAATCGAGACAGAAATGAACATCAGACACAGTGAGACTTATTGTAGACCATCAGGAGCACGATATTTGGTGGGTTCAACGTTGGCTCCAATGTGCAAGAGCAGATACCCTGTACATTTCGTGGCTGTGGACGTGAAGAGTACAAGAACGATCGTGGATCAAGCCTTCTCAGTGCCGAAGTGTGTGAGATTGGCGAGAATGTCTGAAAAGTCTTACGAGTTACTATGTAAGATGTTCTCAGCAGTTCCAGAGAGAACCAAAGAAGAATTGGAGTTAATACTAGGAAAGAAGTTCATGGGATGTGTGAGTGGGAACTTCAGTGACTTTGAGAGACAGAAACAGAGAGGATCAACTGGCACAGATTACAATGCAGTAGATGAGAATGATGAAGTCCACCGAGTGATGATGGAAGTGGAACCATTGCTGGAAGCTTCGGGAAAACGTAATTGGAGGAGCATCATGTTGACGCATGACGAGTTTCCTTGCCACTGCTTGCTGCAGACCTGGTGGTATCCCAAGCGTAGTAATCTGATGTTGATCTGGGACTCTGGAGAGCTGCTCTCCATGGGTTTACCAGATTCATCACAGCCCGTAACGATAGTGATAGTGGGAGTTATGATGGCGATACGATGGCTGGAAGCTCATGTGAGAGAAAATAACAGACAGGAGGCACCGACGAGAGAACAGTTGCGGAAATTAGATTGTTTAAAAGATTTAGATCTTTTTGAGACAATGTGCAAAGTTCTAAACATTCCGATGGAAGTGAAGAAGATATGGGCAAGAAAACGATTGATGCCATGGTTCAGAGCTAACATGACTGCATGGTTGTACGAGTAGGCGAAAAAGCATATGTCGAAGCACGGCAGGGTGTACAGTGCATATCAGCTGGACATTGGAGCAGGAGCTTTCAAGCGAGCTCTCGTGACTCATCGGAATGCAGTGACCACCGCTGTGAAAAGAATTTCCAGGACGAGTGAACGTAGTGGAAAGGAGAAGGCAGAGATGCTGAAAGAAGATTTGGAGAGAAACGTGACGTTGTGTCTCCACAACAGCTTCTGCAGGAACAGAGAATCTAACGTGGATCCCCTACCTTGTTGTAAACAGAGGGTGGAAGAGCAGAAGTGTTGGAGGACGGCTTCCAGCAGCGTCAGGATACCTAACGACGTGTTACAAGATACGGAAACTGAGAGTGCAGAGTCAGTATCACAGGAGGAAGAAATGGAACATTGACGGATGACCGAAAGACAAGATGAAATTAGAAGAATTTAGAAGTTTTAGAACTTCTAAACGACGAAAAAAGAAGAAAACAAAGGAGTGATGAATAAAAGTTAAAATTCAGAATTGTTTATGTGTGTGAAAAACTCAAGTGAGAAACCAAGCAACCAAGTTGTAATTGAAAACTGAAACATTTAGTTGAGTTTTGAAATTGTTGCATTTATAAATTTGCATTTTGATTTTAGTTGAAGTGGCTTTAGAGACACTCACTTACTATTTATTTAGAAAGGCTTAAGTGAAGGAGTATATTTAAATATTCCAGCCTGCATGACTGTTTTTAATCAGCTAGGAGAACTGATCACTTTGTGGTGACATGGAAGGCTTGAGTAATCTCTCGAAGAGGGAGATTGTTTCATTGTTCTTTCTAACCACAGAGTTTCTTAGTTTTAGTATTCAGGACAATAACAAGCAAGATTTCCGAAGGGAAAAGCATAGTAGGATAATTTTAGCTTGTTGGTTGGCAGGACTGTCCTGCAAACCAACACCTTTTAAATCTAGGAGAAAAAGTTTTTAATCAGAACATTGACATTGGAAGTCGCAAAATATGTTTTATCTTAGGTCATATCCTCAATGTGCAGATTAATGAGAGAATTTGAAGGCTATAGTGATGAAGTATGATGCCATTTATATTCTGCAGTGAGTCAATGTGACGTGGATAAAAGTAATTTCGTGCATTTTGTAAATTCTGTTCGATGACACTGTGACCATTTTACGAATATTGCGTGATTCAGTGAGGACATTGACCGGACTTTCCAGGGAGTATGTGACATTCGACCAGAATGTGAAAAATGCAATCTCTGCAGAATTCGAATTTTTAGCAGCGAGCCTTCCGGATTGGTGATTATTAAGAACTAAGAACGTTATTGGAACGATTGGCCAGACGGTGAGGGCTGGAATATTCTGGTATTTTAAAATTTCAAAAATTCGACTTATGACGTCATATTTCTGAGAAACGTCAGAAACGGCCATTTTGGCTAAAACAAGAAAGAAAAACAGAACAACATTAGCTGCGCTAACAACAACTACGAAATCGAGATTAGAAAACGACAACGAGTTACAGAGTAACAGAGAACACTCCGAGTTGCAACTATTGTGTCGCTACAACATTTGCAAGGCCGTTGCGAACAACGGTGAAGGGTGAAAGACGGCCTTCCGGATTAAGAAGAAATCAGGATTAACAAGCTTGATCCAGCAGATTTGTCAATCCGGAGGGGTAAAGGAACTGAAACTTTTATCCTGTTTCATAAACTTTTAGCTTCCTGTCATGTCCTGACTTGAATTTAATTAACATCTAGATTCATTTTGATAAGGATGAGAAGCTAGGAGTTGGGGGAAAGGGTTGATCCATCTTCGATGGAGATGATGATTTTTATCTACTGAACAAAAACAATAGTAATATGATAAATAGTAGTAGCCCTGTTTTTAGGAGTGACCTCGTGGTCTGGGGATACTGAGACACAGCCATGAGCTCACTATTTCTGCATGTAATCTAGTTAATTTGAGTGTTTTGACCGAGGCCGAAAGCAGTAACGTTTTTGTCGACCCGATGTTAGAAAGACCACCGAAAAGTACTGGCTTGGTAGAGACGGTGAAAAGCATGCAAAGCTCTGTTTAGACGTTAGCCAGTCGTCTTAAGACTTAGTTTTGTCTTCCGTCGATATGTATCTTCCGGGCGAATGTTACATTATCAAGCGTCCGTGGCTGTGTGGTGGGACTCATAAACTCTACGTCGAAGATCGTATCCCAGATTTAGCCGAGTTTTTATTAATTTGAGAATTATTTCTACAATTTATTGCACTTTACAGAGCTGCTCTTTTTCGTATTCTCGATAGTGTTTATGAAGCACAGCTTTGTCTCTGTGTTATCTGTGGTAATTGTTTTTGCGTGGTGCAACAAAAGAGAAAAAAAACAAAACACGACCCAGTTGAAAGTTCTTCTGCATTTATTCAAATGGTCGGATCAATAACGATTTTTGTAATAAAGAACCTATGATGCAAAATTTCAATTTGAATATAAATGACATACACTTGCTGTCTTGAATTCTTTTTCAAATTCAATTAAGTTTCATGTTTTGCCTCACTTTCTTCGAGTATGCTATTGCTGCCGTCAGTTTAACTTGAAGTTTTACCCACTGTTCTGATTCTGCCGAAAATTTTTAAACGTCGCAGCTTCATGATTACGATCTTGTAGATATTGTGAGCAAATTTTGACTCGTTTTTCAATAAGTTCCTCTTCTGCTTCTGTGTCATTTTCATCAGTTTATAAGAATTTTAAAACGGTAATTCAAACGTTTTTGCACATTTTGTGGATCAAAAGTCTTAAAATTTTTTTACAATATGTAAAAAATGATTCAAGATCTGGAAAAAGTGAAAAATCAGTAGCACAAGTAATGCGAAGCTCCGCTTTGTCACTCTGTAGTGAGGTGACAATTTTTTGTTCAAATTATTTAAAAAAGTGATTGTTTTTCAGATAAACAAGTAATGCCCAAATCAAAAAGAAATACGAAAGTGAACCTATCAAAGGTCGTAAAGGCAACGAAAGAACGAAAAGAAAAGTTGTTGAATCAAATCCGCCTGGCTGTAGAAGAATATGATAATGTTTTTGTGTGGGAGGAGCATAATATGCGCAACAACACTATGAAAGATCTGAAATGTAAAGAGTGGGCTCACAGTAAGTTTTTTTACGGAAAAGTCAAGTTAATGGCTCTTGCTCTTGGAAAAACTCGTGCGTTGGAAACTCGAAAAAACCTTCACAAATTAGTGCCCCACTTGACTGGACATGTTGGTCTTTTGTTCACAAACAAGGATAAAACTGAAGTGAAAGCCTTTTTCGAAGAATTTTCAGCGTTTCATTATGCGACATCTGGCGAAACCGCCACAGAATCAGTTGTATTGGAGGCTGGAATCTTGGATCAGTTCCCACACAGTATTGAGCCGCACCTGAGAGAATTGGGGATGCCAGTAAAGTTGAACAAAGGCTCAGTAGAGCTGATGAAACAATATACGGTCTGTACCGAAGGAGAACTATTACGCCCTAATCAATGCCGTATCCTGAAACTGCTGGGATATCAGATGAGCAAGTTCACCATAAAGCTAAAATGCTGTTGTTCAAAGGATGGAAAATTTGAAGCATTATAAAATGATACAGCATTTGTTGCTTTTAATTTTGATCCTGTTACACACCATTTAAAAAAGGCTTTCAAATTTTCTTCTTTTACAGCCAGATTCTTTCTATAAGAGAGTTATTACAAGGGCAAAGTGATAGTAGTTATAGGTTTTCAAGTAAAATCATTTTGAACGCAGTCTCCGTTATCTTTGACAATAATCTATACAAGTAGTAACCTCTCGCGTGACTCTATAGAATTGTTTGCTATTTTTCTAATTGCCCGTATCAAAAATAATTGATTTTGTGTATGGTGAAGATTTTCCGACGGGTGCAAGAATTGAAACAAAAGCTTTTAGAAATGGCCGATTTTTTGAAAAAGAGGGCAACAAAATGAAAGTCAGCGACTTCGACGTTTCATATCTGTTTCATTTCCATTAGATGGTTTGAATTGAAAACGTGTAAACTTATTGGCACGTTTTACTCATTTTGACTCTGAATAAGGAACCTGTAGAAATTGAGGTTAATGAATTTTTACATAGCAGAGAAAGTGAGATTTTAATGCATATTTTAATGCATGCTATTATGGCTAAATACGCATTTCTTTATTATGAAGTATGAAGAAATTTTTATTTCCTGTCAAGTTCAGTTGCAGTTGATTTTCTAAACAAAGCGCGAAAACGGTTAATGACTCTTAGGTTTAAAAATAAATCTATCTATTATATATTTAAATGCAGGCTTCTCTATCTGGACACGTTAACGCTTTTTCAACGTATTATTTTTGCATGTTTAACGAAAGATTTTTTTCGGTTTTCCAGGTTTCAGCTCAAATAAGCAACTCAATTTTGGGATGCTGTCAGAGTTCCCCCATGAGTTGCGAATTTGGCCTTCAATTATGAATACCCAAATCCTTTTTAGCTGAGATGCGACGATTTTCAGACAAATCAGATTTTAAAAAAATCACAAAATTTGATATTCCTGTAGTTGGGTGCTGTCAGGGCAGTCTCAGGTATAGCGAGTCCTGCCTCCAAATATGGCTGCTCAAATCCTTGGAATTTTCGAGATGTTATTTTCAATGTTTTTTTTTTCCAGTTTCCAGAAAACTTTGAATAAAAATTTCAAAAGATTTGAAATTCCCAAACCTGTAATTGGCTACTGTAAGATTCATCTCAGCAGCTGCAAATCTTGCATCCAAATGCGACTGCTCAAATGGTTTTAGTTTCCGAGATCTGACATTTTCTATATCAATTTAAAATTTTCAAAAAACTTCGAAAAAAATCAAACTTCAAGTTTCTTTCTCTATAGTGAGGCGCTGTCATGGTACTCTCAGGGGCTTTCAATTGTGTCTCGAGATATGATTTCTCAATTTCTTTTTAGTTTTTAAGGTATGACGTTTTTCATACTTTTTTCCCCATTTTTTTCAACTTAATTTTTTTTTGGAATTTAATTTTTTAAATTTATTTTGTTTTAGTAAATTCAGAAAACTATAAAGTCCTAAAGCAACCAAAGATAACAAAATGGACCGAGTCCGAGGAATGTGAAGATTCAAAACGACGCCGCCTTCCAGTGGTGGATCCGACATCTTGGGCCCCACCAAGATGCAAATGGCGTCAAGCCCCCCTCCCATTGGGTCGGGAGAAGCTCAGAAGTCTCCGGGTTTTCGGTTACGGAGCGTCTGAAGCCGGCCAGGCTGCTCCGTCTGCTCATCCTTATACTACTACTCCGCTCCGGCATTAATCCAAACCCTGGTCTAGGGCCTTACTTTTGCTCCCCTTGCTCTTTCCGCATCAAACGCACCCAGCCCAGTGTCTGGTGCCACATCTGTGGTTACATTCACCTTAAATGTAGTGGTCTTACCCACCTTAACCAACACCACCCTGACTACTATTGCCCTACCTGTACCTCTACCTACATTTTACCTCCCCCAGGCACCAGGTCCTCTAACTTGACCACCCCCAACTCCCAAACTTGTTCAACTTCCCTAACCGCCCCCCAACCCCACCTCCCTAACCCCCCTCCCACCCTTCCCACCTCCTCGAATAATAATTCCTCCTCCCAAAATCGCGCAAATCGTAATCGTGTAAATAGTGTAAATAACTCAAGTTCAAACAACCATTTTAATCATACTGCTGTTAATAATGTAAATAGTTCACCACACCCCGCCAAAGGCCTTTTAAAAATCCTTCAATTTAATTGCAACGGTATCTCCGGAAAAGCACCCGAAATTGCTGCTTTCTTATCTCAAAATCAAATTCATATTGCTGTCTTCCAAGAAACTAAATTAAGAAAGAAATCTCGAAACCCCTCACTTGGCTCACACTACACTTTAATTAGAAAAGATCGAGAAAAAGAAGGGGGCGGTCTTCTCATAGCCATACATGAGTCGATACAATACGAAGAAATAAATATTAACAACGATGAAACTTTAGAGGCTATGGGCATATCAGTGGTAGCCAGTTCATCCAAGCTTCGTATTTATAATTTCTACATCCCCCCTCGCTCGAGCTGTCCCCCTGGTTACTCTGCGTCCCTTGCCGAACTACTTGAACCTGGGGACGCCTTAGTACTCGGGGATGCCAACGCACATTCACAACTATGGAACTCCAACATCGAGGAAGATCAACGCGGCTCTGTACTTAGCAATGAAATAACCGAATCCACCTTTGCACCATTAAATGATGACACACAAACCAGAGTCCCTTTTAACTCAGAAAACCAACTCTCGTCACCAGATATTTCCCTTGCATCCCAATCGCTCTTACTCTCCACATCATGGACCCCAATTAAATCTCTAGGATCAGATCACCTACCCATTCTTCTAGAACTACCCTTGGATGATTTTATAAATTTTTCACCTAAAAGGACTTTTATAAATTTTTTAAAAGCAGATTGGATCAAATTCACAGAGGAAATTGAGGAGAATTTCTTTTCAGCGGTTCCACCTTCCGGAGTTGCCGCCGGAGAGAAATTCTTGAGGGACCTGGTGCTCAGGGCAGCACGCCACCACATACCCGCTGGCCGTATTCGCCACTTCACTCCCTCTCTTTCCCCCGAGTCCACTGCCCTTGCCGCCGAAAGAGATTTAAGCCGACAACAAAATGTCCCTCCAGAAGTCATATCCCAACTGAACTGTAGACTCATGAAACAGACAGCAAATGACAAAGAAAATAAATGGCGAGAATTCCTCCGGACTTGCGACTACCGCACTGGTGCCAGAAAGTTCTGGAAAGTGGTACGCTCCTTAAATGGATCTAAGCCCGTGGCAGGAAGACACCCCATTACTTTTGGTTCTAAACCCATACACTCACCTCGTGATATTACCAGCTCTTTTAACAAACAATTCACCAATGCCAGACCCCACGCCTCTGACAAACTCCTTCGTATAACGAGAAGAAAAATTGCCAAACTACCGCTGTCAGACAGCCCAATTTTTACCCCTGAAAATACTAAACAAGCCATTGCAGACAGCAAACCATCGCGAGCACTAGGTCCCGACGGCCTTTGTAATTTACATCTTAAACATCTCGGCCCACTTGCTACTCAATACTTAACATACCTTTTTAATATCTCTTTGTCCGAAAACATTATCCCCCAAATTTGGAAAAATTCAAAAATTGCACCGCTTCCAAAGCCCAATAAGGATCTTAAACAATCAACATCTTACAGACCTATATCCTTACTCTGCCCAGCAGTTAAAATTCTGGAGAGGCTCGTTCACCCCATCTTTACCAAACATCTCCCCAACGCCAAACACCAACACGGCTTCCGCCCTTTTCACTCCACCACCACAGCTCTCTCCACTCTCGAATTTTACATTTCAGACGGTTTTAACCAAAATCGCCCCCCTAAACGTACGGTACTGGCCACACTTGACTTATCTAAGGCTTTCGACATGGTGTGTCATCGCTCACTTGTGGAACTCGTCCATGACACTCCCCTCCCAAGAAGTCTAGTCCGCTGGCTAAGTAATTACCTTAATGGTCGACAGGCTGCCACCTCATTCCGTGAACACACATCCCCCCATCGAATAATCCACTGTGGCGTACCCCAAGGTTCTGTTTTATCACCCACACTCTTCAATTTTTATGTCCATGATGCACCGCCACCTCCCGATAATGTAAACCTTGTTTCGTATGCAGACGATTTCCACCCCTTCGCAAGCAGTTCCAATATTGATATCGCCTCAAACTCCATCAATAGCTACCTAAAAAGGCTCTACGATTTTTTCACCTCACGCAAACTAAGTTTCGCGTCCTCTAAAGGATCAGTTACACTTTTCTCCTCTTATAACAAAGAATTTAATAAAACACCTAGTGTTCTTTTAAATAACGAGGCGCTACCCCTAAACAAAAATCCAACAATCTTAGGGGTGACATTTGATCCAACACTTTGTTTTGCCACTCACTGCAAACAATACGCTGAAAAGGCCAGACGCAGGATCGGAATCCTGAAGGCATTAGCAGGATCAACCTGGGGTCACTCCAAAGAAACCCTCCTCCTAACTTTTAAAGCTTTAATTCGCCCCATACTTGACTATGCAGCCCCCGCATGGTCCCACGCATCAAGTAACACCTCCATAAATTGCCTGCAGGTTGCCCAAAACCAATCCCTTCGCGTTGTTACTGGATCAAATCTAATGAGTTCCACTGCCCACCTGCACAGTGAATCTGAAATCCTAACGGTCAAAGACCACCATACCCTTCTGTCATCTCAATTTTTTATCTCTACCTATCGTTCCCACCATCCCATTAATTTTATACATTCACATCCCCCTCCTCCCCGTCTACTTCGCCCTCAATTTTAAGCTGCTTCAAAGAAGACACCCAGAAAGTTTTATCCGACTTTTCAGTCTACGCAAACCACCCTCTAGTTCTGGACGACCGAGACGAAGTCTCCACTTTTATTTTTAACTACTACAAACCAATTTTAAAAGACAACCATACCTCCCTTGTAACCAAGTTCCTAGCCGAAACCCCTCCGTCTAAAGTTATTTGTATCCCTCCCCCAAAGATTGACCCCTCTGAAAAATCTCTCCCACGTCCCACGCGCTGTAAGCTCTCCCAACTCCGGTCTGGCTACAGCCGGCTCCTTAACACTTACCTATC